TACTTTGCCTGTATATTTTCTTATTTATAGCAGTGCATGTAGTGATCAAATAAAGGTTGATTCCCTCGGGATTCATCAGCTTATACAGAACGTCTTCCATTCCTCCAGTCCTGGATGTGGTGGTATTACGTACAAAAAACTAAAGGTCACTTTGAAATCCTCCAGAATTCTACTGCCACTCTTACTCCAACAAAGTGTAGCCCAGGGAGTACTACCGAAAGGCTAGACACATTTCAATTTTAATAATGTTTTTCAGTATGGAGACATCATGTCCTCTATTATTTATCGCCCCATTTCCCTAACCAGCATAGCCCGTAAGCTGCTTGAATATGCTATCTTCAGTCATGTCATTACTTACCTCTCAGGTATACATTTCTCTTCCCTAACCAGCATGGTTTCCATAAAAAAGGTTTCTGCGACACTCAGCTTTTTTATTTCTTATTGATGTGCACGAGAACGTCGATTCTCGGAAACAACCTGATGCTATTTGGTTGGTGTTTCAAAAGCGTTTAACCAAAACCCTCGCCAGAATTTAATAAAAAAAAAAAAAAAAAAAAACTTAAATCTCTTAACATCCAGCGGTCAATTCTTGGATGGATCAAGGAACCCCTTTCCGACTGAACCCGATCAGCCTCAGTTAGTAATGACTAATCTCGTAAAATTTTAGTAAAATCAGAAGTTCCTCATGAATCGATCCTCGGCCTGCTTATTTGATTAATCTATTTAAATTAAGTCACAAATTTAATCTGCAATAAATTCAATTTTTCGCAGAGGACTGCGCAATTTCTATGCGCATAGTTACTAAAGCCGATCGCTTGACCATGAAGCGTTTCCTAAATATTCAGCATCATGGTCCGAGAATTAAGAATTGAGCAACACACCTCAACGACGAAACGTCTGAGATTTTTTACCTCGAAAACGACAACTTCTTCTGACTACGTAAAAAGCGGCTTGAATCTTAGAAAACTCGGCAATTATGAATATCTAGGCGTTCATACTAAGAGGAAGTCTAGGTAGTAACCTGCCCATTGATTACATCGTTGGAAACGCAAATCGTAAACTGAGTTATTTTAGAAGGGATTTTTGTTCAGCACCTTTTGGTGTTTGCTTTTTAGCTTGCGAGTCCTTTATTCTTTTGACGGTATAATTCGCTGGCGTAATATAGAGACCCTGGCAGAATTACTTCAATATAAAAGTAGAATATATCTAACATGAATCCACTAGGTTCATTTTTTTAGAAGTTATGTTTTTACATCTAGTGTAACAGTTCTAAAGTCTAAAGCTGGCCTCGCAGCTTTGTGCATCAGACGCAAAGTACCGGTATTGACCCTTCTTCTCCGAATATAGAGCCGTAATACGAATTTTAAAGTCAGCTTTTATCCCTTTCAGCAAACAGAATTTTACTAGGTACGATCACCAGCACAGAATTCGGCTGCCCTCCATGTCGAACCAAGCAGCATTCCTAGTCTTTTATGTCTGTTAATTAAGAAATAAAATGACCTGCCCAGGAGTGTGGCAAATATCTCTGATTGTGTTAAATTTAAATGTGCTTGCGAAAATTTATTTCGCGTATTTTTATCCCATTAAATACATTAAAACGCGAATATTGTTTTTTGTCGTTTCTCTTTAGTTTAAGACCGTATAACCCTTTTGAATGTTCTGTGCATTGTATTCGAAGTATTTATATTTTGTTTGTTCCTTCTCATAGAATGTCTTCGGACGCCTTGGGGTAATTAAGTAAATAAAATAAAATTTAATTTTAAAAAAGTTACGCTGACATAGAAAGGACGAAGAGTCGGGCTTCGACAAATTACCCAGGCACCAAGAAAATGCTTGGAATGTAGGCACAGGTTCCGTACAAGCACGCGTCTACTGAATGAACGGACTGTTTCTGTTAGATGTACTTAGGCAAAGTTACTTTGCAGGCGCCAGCACGCATAGCTGGCTACTCTCACACTCTGCTCTTTGGTGCATGGGTAATTTAGCTAATTGTCTATAGACTCCTTTCAGCAGCTCTGCATGGGCGCCGCCATAAGTGACCTTCAGTTTTTTTCCTCGTATTTCGATACCTTCGCTCTATCATTGCAACAGCAGGACAGGTTATTGTTATTTTAGGTTCGATTGTGTCCCCCTCCCAGATATGACCCTTGTGAAGGCTCGTCTAAGCCCGCTTCAGTGACTTGGTAGCTCGGGAAGACAAGATAAGATCAGAAATGGTGGCTGTAATCTGGCGCTTGTGCAAAGCGTCAGTGGACCATTCCAGAAATTCGCTATGGGTTGGTGCCGTTTCTAACGTTCGCGCGTTTGGCGGGTGAATATATAACCTTCCGAAGTGAAGAACAGGTGCATGCTGGGCTGTGAGCTAACACATGAGATTTGAGTTTTTCGAAAACATGGAAATTACATATACAAGGAAATTTGCTGCACGCTCCAATCCCCAGACGATGGACAAAGGTAATATATATTATTATAAAGTTAAAATTAAAAAAAAACCTTCCAAACCACCAAGTCAAACATGTATGAATGTGCACTTACAAATATATAAAATAGAGAAATAAAATATCGTATCTTCGAAAAAAGGATAGTTTTATTGAAGATTCATTAATTCCAGAAGTACAAGATGAAATCGTAAATTTGTGAAATATGAATATAAAGGAAGAAAAAGTTCCCTCGAGGTAAATTCGAACGCATATATTTTTCTTTTTTTTATGCCTGAGTAATATCCTGGGGCGTTTAATCTCTGATCCACTAGCGCATATAAGGGCAGGGGTATGATTTAGAAATCTATCAATATACACTTTTTTCATTTTAATATATTGGTCCTGCACAACCTCAATCGAGGTAAATTTACACGCCTCTCCGAAAGGCATGCTGTAAGCGACAAAATTTTCGCGATGACCTAATTTTTGTGAATTTCGTGAATCGCCTACGATTCGCGAGAAATAGGCTCCGCGAACAATTTCGGTAAAACGTAAACATATTATAATGTATATTGACATCCCACCGCGTCTCGAAACTCACAACCCACGAATTATTCAAAAACGTCAGCTTTTTCCTAAATCGCGAAATATTGAGCCCGCGAAAAATGAGTAGTTTACAGTATATACTTGTTATAGCCCTAATATCTTTTCAGGCCTCTTTAATATTTACCTGCGATAGAATAAAGGAAAGATGTTTTCACCACGTTCTCTGCGAGAGAACATTGTACGCCTTTCATTTGACATACGTAAATTTGACAAACGTACCTATATCGGAGCTCAACACCAGTTACCTAACATTCAGTAAAGTCTGGCACAAACAGCAGTGTATTGAAATATATGCATCTATAATTTTGTTTAGACGATTGAAATCTCACCTTCAACAGACTCATTTTCGAGTTATTGGAACGCCAACAGTAGCCGCAACTTCCGTTTGCGGCTCCCGCTGTCTAGGATGATATTTAGACCACACTTCTAAAGTTTTCATAAAATATATTGTCCACTGAAGCCAATGAAAAAAAAAAAAGATAGGACTGTGCATGTCGACTAGTGCTACAAGAGTGACTCTTTTGAGACTTCATTAGCGCACTGCTTCAAATGTGGGTTTTTCTTGTACCTAATAGCCTTTATTATGTGATTATAACTCTTGAAACAATTACACCTGCCAAAGGCTACTCATTTGGCAACTTGTAGCTGTAGATTATTCCAAGGACTGGCGATGATGCTTCATGTGACATTGTTTCTCTCGGCGGATGGCTTGCGCTAAAGCATGCTGACGTGGTTTCCATCCACTGCATCCTCAAAGCGCCTTGCCGCCACCGCCCTCCCCCCCCCCTTTTTCCAGAAAAACAAAATAGTAAAACAAATAAAATAATTTTAGGGTGGGCATTTCTTGTGCCATCTGCTGCGGAGCATAGTTTGCTGCATATTGCAGAGAACATTATACCTCAGGTCTCCGGAAGCAGAATATTGACCGCTGGCGAGCGGGAAAGCAGGGAAACGGCTTCCCAACCCCTGTGCGTAACCGACGTCCGTCCTTCCCCCGGTTACTTACAGCGGTACGGAAAAGTATGGGTTTATTAAACCTGTCAGTAGAAAGCACCCTGCTCAAATGTATAACACCGAAGTTACTTGTAAATTAAATACTCAGACGGAAACGTTTATTTATAAAAAAAATGTTTCGCCAACTGCGTCAAAAAGGGCGATTAATACGGCCTTCTAATTTACAGTCAAATCGAAGGCTACAAAATTGGCGGAGGTGTCGTTTAGGCAACTCCGCCGATTTTCAATTCGGGTTTTGATTGTGCGTCACGACTCTCTTCCAACTTGCTCGCAGATGCTATGCAAAAATACCGCATCACAAAACAAATAAACACACTAGAAATCTGCATACCCATTTGCTTTAATATCTTTTTTGGACTCTTTTTGCACATCGACAGACCCAATACGGTCCGATACCAGACGTATCGGATAATGGCTCGTGCACAATGAAAGGCTACAGCGCCGCTTTCATGATCGCGTCTTTGGAGCTTCGGAGGTGGTAGAGAGTGTGTTCTACCAGACCAGCTCCAGCACTGCCGCGCTTCTGCTCGCACGACTCGTGATGGCGTCAGACGGCAAACTAGATGGAGCGGGCGTGGCGACAGGAAGATATCGGGCTTATAACTTGTTTGGCCAAGCAGCCAAGCGAATCCAGGTGCAATGGATAGATCACGGTTCTAGAACGGGTCGTGTCCTCTAATAAAATTCCGTAATGACACGTGAATATTGTGGGAAAATTATTGTTTTGCTGAAACTTTGTTTGTGTTATAAAATACGTGTGTCATTTAAGCACTTTTAGGCCCTCCTTTTTTATTCAAAAGTTATTTTAAAATATAGGTAGGTACTATAGCTCTCCAAGAACAGGTATTTCTTGTAATCGATCGAACCCCCACCCACTGAGGCAAGACCGCGGTTGATCAAAAGCTATACTTCGAAATGAATCCTTTAAGGCCAATATTTACAGGATAAAATATAACATACCAGTGCAATGTTGAGTGCCAAATAAGTTACTAAATCTTCCCTCTGGCCAAACTCTTTGTAATGATGCTCATCCACCATCACGTGAACTTCAACCAAAAATAGATCTGGTACGTGCTTTATCGATGCGGCACCTGAAATCGAAACGGTGTTATAAATGCTCGAGAAGAAAAATCACCAGTTTTATTTGTCTGCCTACGCAAGAATCAAAAGACACAAATTTTGAGGATAGCGTCCTCGCGAAATTGTTTTAGCAGGAATATTTAATGCGCTGTCTGAAACATAATAAAATGCATATTTAGACGAAAAACTGGAGATATACGTTTATTTATAGTTTTCGTGCTCGTTCATTACAATACAATACTGAGGGCTCAATATAGAACATAAAGAACCTTTATATGTGATGACGCGGGTTGCCGCATTAAAACTTGAATAGCTTTTTTTAAATATTACTGGAAGGTGGTGCTAAAGGTCGTTGGAGAGATGTCGTGCTTGTAATTAGTTTTGACACGACTGTTTCTGGTAGTCATTTTTTTCATGAACAGCCGAGATCAAGGACGAGGCGGTCGAGGCACCTGCCGATAAAAGAGACGACATGCAGCTTGGTGATGATGAAGGATGACTGACCGCGAGCGGGTGGTGCTCTTCGGCGCTTCGACGGATGGATGGATGTTAACGGCTGTACCCTTCATATCGGGCGGTAGCTTGCGCCACCTAGACTAGAAGGCAAGACCCAAAAGAATGCTCTTGTTCCTTCTCCAATTTGTTTACCCTCTGCAATTTCGTGATTATCACCAGGCGATGTGAGATAATCACCTGAATAACCTTCAAAACATCTAAAAAAAAAAACGTTACGTTTTTGTTGTTTCCCCTTCCCCCCTGCCTCTTCCCCCCGGCGACAGAGTCGATAATGTTCTTCTGGTCAAATTTGGTCGGCGTTACTCCGGTGCTGAGCCCGCTGGGAGACAGGGTGGAGACTTTAAGCCGAAGTCACGCGGGAGGGAGTCGCGATTTTCCTTGTCCCGCCTGTCCCCAGTTGTCTTAGCTAGTTTTACGTCATTCAATTGTCCTTAGACAATTACTACCAGTCTTCCAATCTTGTTTTTGTTACTAAAATGCGCTTATCACCCATTCTTCCATTCTCGTCTGCAAACCCTAGCGCTCGTCTGCAAACCCATTCCGTCGCCCCCTCCGGGATGGCGTGAACAAGCCGCGCGCCCTTCAACATCACATGTTCTTTTGTCTTGTCTTCCCCTTGGCATACGGCACACCGCGTATCGACTTCCTCATGCTTTGTCCTAGATGTCCTAGTCCTCAATACTCCCGTTCTAGCCTCGAATAGCAACGAGCTCCCTCCTGAATTATTGTACCGATGTTTCTTCCTGATTTCCTGGTTTCCTGTCCTATACATAATTAAACGCTGATTTTTTTCTGCATTATTCCCTCTCACATCTTTCTGTGGGCTTCTTTTACTTTCTTTTTAACAGAGGTAGTCGTGGACCCGCACTTGTCTGATGCTATTTAAATTTTAGTTTTCGGGTTAGGTTTGGCCATTTAGTGTCGAAACTTTATATGTCCAGATGCTTATATACCTTTCTCGCGCATCATGCGTCCTCAACTCTGCCCAGTCTTTGTTCGAATTTCAACTAACTTATCGCCACTCTACGCTGGAAAGATGTACGTCAACCTGTGCGTGCACCCCTTCATTTGCTGTATTTCCATGCGCCCCCAGTGCCAGTCTCCACACGCTCCTTTGCCGCACCTCTAAGCTCGACTGGACCTCCGATTTTATGTATAAAACCGCATCGCCAAAAGGCAACCCCGGTACCATGACTCATTTCTAGATTACTTCTAACAACTTCATATATATTGTAATTCTATAGTGTCCAATCCTCCATAGTTCCTAGTGTCTTGACTGCCCTTATTCCTATGCCATCTGCGCCTGTCACCCTTGGAGCAGGGACTTGACTCTCTGCTTTTTTTTGATTGATTGATTGATAACTTTTTATTTAAGACATAACTGTACAGAGATGTCCCAGGTGACATGGCAAAAGGCATAAACGCCTGACGGGGCCATGCCACCCTTTTGGCAGCAACGGTAGCAAAAACAATAAATGAGGAATGACACAATTTCACTCCAAACTAAAAATCTATACCAAACAAAACAAATACATCACAAAACATGACGTGAAAAGGAGAATTGATACTTATCATTCCAAGCATTTTACTTAAAACACATACGGTTTTATTCCCCTGTGAGTAAGTATTCTTTTACAATATTTTTATATTTATAGAGTGATCGTACGCACTCCAATGAAGCTAAAATATATGGGTATTGGTTTAAATAGTCTGGTATCAAAAAACTCAACCTCTGGTCTCCATAATTCGTTCGCGAACGCGATTTTATTAATAGATGACGCCTTAAATTATACGGGCTATCTTTCGCGTGGTACTTAGCATAGAACACCAATTTATCGAGGTGAAATTGCGCTAAATTTCAAGTGATAGTTTATATTGATGTAGATTTCTTACGTTGAGTATTTGATATGTCCTAAAATATGGTGTGGCACTTTTAAGAAGTTGTATGTTACCAATTGCTCGCAATGCTCGCTTTTGTATGGATACAATATTGTCTAGATTTGTTTGGGATGTCGTTGACCACACTAAAAGGCAGTAACTTATGCGGGATTGCACAAGAGCGAAATAAATTTGACGTTTCACTTTTGTTGTGAAACGTCAAAACGTCCCATTCCCTCGTGGTCGTCTCAATCGTCTCGCTAATGTTCTCATCTCGTGCCGTGTTGCTGCTTGTACTCTGTCCAATCTCGTTCGGTTGAAGTTCTGCATATATGGCCTGGCCCAGCCTGGCAGGCCATCGAATGTTTCGCCGGCTGCCTACATGCTTGTTACGTCCCCTCCCCCTCCCGCAGTATGTTTTTTCCGAACGAGACAAAACAACTCAATGCCCAGTGCACACTGGACGACTAAATGTTCGCTGCTGGTTGAGTTTCTGCCAAACCCCTAACCGTGTAAACGACGACTGTTACCCAGGCGAGTAATGTTACGGTAGAATCCGTAGTTAAGTACTGAGCCTGGGCGCAGGTGTCGGCGAGCCGGCTGTGACGGCGCCGGGCGCTGCCTGAAATTACAATGGCACCGAACTTGGCGCCAGCCTAACTGCCACCGCAGAACTGGCGACGCTTGCCGTCTTCGAAGAGGGCGGCGCTCCGCTGGCAACGACTGGTGTTGTCATTTATTCGCCTACAGGCCGGTCCTCCGAAGTCGCGAACGAGAGTTCAAGCAAAGTCTCGAGGTGAGGCCTAACATGGACGTCGTGTCAGTGCTAGGTGGTCTCGTCGGGCATGCGGACGAGCAGTGAAGAAGCGCTGGCAGGAGAGACCACATGTCCGGCGGACCAGGGTGGACCAGGACGGAAACTCCAAGCGAAGACCTACGCTCCCGACTCCGGCAGAGGCCCGGTACGACACCCTCGGTCAGCGGCCAGCTTCTAATTTATCTCCTTCAGAAGCATGTTGATCGAAGGTCGGTACGTAAAACGTCAAAGGATTTCTTGATCCTTTGTCTCAGCAGAACCTCACAGGTCGCAGTGCGAGTGGCGTCGTGGGGCATGGTCCTGTACTGGAACACTATCCTGCTCACCTGTGTCCGGAATTCCCCGAGCTGGCGCTCCTTGAGCTTACCCTTGATGGTCTGCACCACCTACTTGGCTGCCCCATTGGAAGCAGAGCTGTACCGCGGAACCATCATCCGGCGGATTTCGTTCTTCGTTAGCTAGGCCAGATGCTCGGCGCTGGCAAAAGCGGGACCATTTTCGGACGGAATAACGTCTGGCGGCTCTGGGCTGCAAAGACCTCCCACAGCGACGCAATTGTCGCGCTTGCTGATGGAGTGGTAAAAGGTAGGACCTCTAGTCACTTTGAAAAGGAGCCCACCACCACAAAGAAGTAGTGGCCCTTGAAACGGCGCCAAAAGTTTACATGCAGGCGGGACCAGAAACTCTGTGGAAAGGTGCGGGGGTGATCTTCAGATGACGTGAGGCTCGTTGGTGCTCCTGGTAGACCTGGCAGCCCTGCACCATGCGAGCGATGTGCTGGTACAGGCCAGGGCAACAAACGTGGGATCGGGCCACCATCTTAATCTTTTCACGCCAGGGTGGCCCACGTGCAGCAAATTCAGGACCCTGGACTGGAGATTCTGTGAGAAACCCACCTTGGAACCGCACTGTAGGCAGCCCTGGTGCAAGCTCAGCTCGGCGGCCTTGTGGCTGTAGACTTGCTATCGCAGCTCCTGCCTCAGAACACTGCCTTGACTACCTGAGACAGGATTGGTGCCGGCTGGTCACCTGCGATACCGCCTCCCTGAAAAGCACCCGTGGGTAGACCTGCTCCAGCATGAAGACCTCAGCTGGCTTTGGAAGAGCAGCATGCACCTCCGGCAGGTGCTGCGGCTGAGGGCATCAGCAGGTCCCGGGTTCTTTCCAGGGCGGTAGACCAGCTGGTAGCTGTAGGCCGCCAGTTTCAAAGCCACAGAAGACGTGAGGCTTCCACAAGAACTGCCTTTTCAGGCCCCAGCAGACTCAGTAACGCCTTTTGCTCCGTGACGGCCTCAAATTTGCGGCCCCACAGGTACTGGTGGAAGCGCTCAACCCCGAACATAAGGGCCAGGGCCTTCTTGTCCAGCTGGCTGTAGCGTTGCTCTCCGACATAAGGCCGACAGGAAGAAAACGCCACCAGGCGTTTCTGGCCACCCTGTGCCCGGTGCGACAGGACAATCCCTCCAGCGAGTGGCGACTTATCTACAGTAAGGACGGCAGGCTTCGCCGGATCGAAGTGCACCAGCACTGGAGCCTTGGTGATTAGCTCCTTGCTGCACCGGAAGGCCACATCTTCCTCCTTATTTCAGACCCACTGCTGGCCATCCCGAAGCAAACTATGAAGCAGCTGGAGATGAACCGACATATTCTGGAGGAGCCTACTGTATAAGTTGATGAGGGCGAATCAACTCTGAAGCTTATTCTATGAGTTGTGCTTCGGCACCATGGGCAAAGCATAAACTTTGGGGGAATGGGGGAGGGGGGGCGCAGGGCAAGGCCGGCCTGAGAGATGACGTGTCGCAGCCCAGGTGCTGAACCCTGGGGGCCAGGGAAAAGCAATTTTCCAGCTTGAGCTTGAGACCGGCGTCCTGCGATCATGCCAGGCTTTTGTGCAGGCTCTGCAGGTGGTCCCCGTCGTCGGTGCCTGTAACCAGGATGTCGTCCAAGTACACCGCCACGTGCCTCGTACACCTAAAAATATGTTCTATTTTCCTCTCAAAGTAGGCTGGGGCTGAGCTTACGGCAAACGGAAGGCGCGTGCACTGGTAGAGTTCAAAAGTCGTCGATAATGTGACACACTTTCGAGCGGAATCCTGGCATGCCAGCTATTGTTAAGCATCTCTGAGGTCGAGCTTTGTAAAGTTCTGTCCCCCGGACAGAGCCGACCAGCCTATCGTTCAAACGGCGACCAGTCTGCTCCAAGTAGACTCTACTACAGCTGAGAGGGATCTCGTTGACAACTTCCTTAACACAAGGCACAAACTGCTTGGCATGCCTCGTGTCACAGGGGCCGTTCCTAGGTTTGGTCCCGCTTGACATTGCGCTGTCAAACGCAGGAGAACGAAGAGAACGACACTGTTTCTCAATATGTCGTTCTCCACGGAAGCCTTTCTTCTCGCATTTCGAAGATTTATTTCCCGGATACGAATGCCAAGTATAATATACCTCGAAAATTCTACTTCCTTTAAGAGGGCGTTGGCTGACCTAAAGGTAATTTGGAATTCTCTAAGTCATCCGGACTTATCGTCATACCTTACTCAGCGGAGTATTATATAGAAATTTATTGTTGAAAGCGCTTACACGTGGGGAGGATGGTGGGAGAGGTTAGTTCGCTCAGTAAAGTCAGTTTTGAGGAAAGGTTTGGGAATGTCATTCCAGTTCTGTGCGCTGCAACGGAGGCTCTGGCGATGATCCCTCTACTGAGGGTTGGGCCCCTTAACAAAGGTCTGCCCTTGGGAGGGGTGCAAAGCAAATATCACTACGGCGGCGGTTCTCGGCGTATGGATGCCCCCGACCGTCGTTGACCCACTGGTGTTGCCCTTGAGTGCCCCTTTGTGAGGTTGGGCTGGTGTCCGGCTCTGCGGGGCCCTTTCTCCATGTCGGTCTTGCCTGGCCTATTTTTTGGTGTGGCCCAGTTGTTCCTGAGTACAGATCCCAATTGACTTTTAAGGCGCAGCTCTTAGGCGCCGGTTTCCGGCTTGAGCGGCGTCGCCATCGCCGTCGGCGTAACTGCGCGGTGCATTATGATAAATGATCTGTTCTGATGTTAGCCTGAGACTGAGGCAGGAAAAGAGGAAGTTTCAAAGTAGAAGAAAAAGGAACAGTCGAGGATACGTCTCTAGAGACGTATCCTCGACTGTTCCTTTTTTTTCTACTTTGAAACTTCCTCTTTTTCTGCCTCAGTCTCAGGCTAACATCAGAATGGTTAATTTCCACCAGCTTGCCTGCGCACTCACCACAATATCATGATAAATGTCTCATAATGCACCCCGCGGGGAGGAAGAGGTGGAGGAGGAGGGAGAGAAGGAGGGGGAGGAAAATGAGGGAAAAGGGAGGTGGAGGAGGAGGGGAGGAGAGGAGGAGGAAGGGGGGTGCGGGAAGGGGAGGAGGAAGAGGGGAGGAGGGGGAGAAGAGTGGAGGAGGAGGAAAGAGGGGTATACCCTCCCCTCAGTACCCTTTCTTCCTTCTCCTCAAGAGCTGCGCTCCGATTCGGCGTTACAGGGTGTTGTAAACGTCTTTCATTTTTTTTGGTGAAATTGCCACTTGATACAAAGATCTAATTCATTTATTTTGAATTGGCTTTAAATCGGTTGTGCCCATTGAGGCGGTACCCATTGAGGCAATTTTTACTTTTCAATCTTTCTACAAGCCTCACCTTATCAAATTTGTGAGTTCAGTTCATTTTTTTATTAAAGAATGCCTCAATGTCTTTCTCGGAGTCGGTTAAAACTCTTAACTTCCCAAGTCGATGACTCAAAGGGAATCCACTCGGAGGCTGAGGAATAGACAGCTGGTTATGGACCACTTTTGGAATTGGGGGAGTAAAGAGTAAATAGTGCAACTGCGACAGGCGACAGATGGAAAGATCACGTAAATATTTTGAGCACCATAGGGGTTTTCCGAATTGGGGAAAAAATCAGTTGAAGGTTCGCAGAGGTTGCATTCAGTGTAGTACGAGTTGCCTAATTGAGAGAAATAATATACCGATGAGAACATCGCCGAATCGTCAGTACTTTTGCCTGCATCATATTTCTGGCGCCTCGACAACACAGACTGGTAAGATCGCGTTGCATGGACCAAGGAGATAGACGATAACGCCCGTAACTTATTTATTTGTTTGTTGCTTTCCTGCGTGCAGCGGTGCCGATATCTGTGTTGAGGAGCTTCACACAGTACACGGGCAAATACTGCAGATAGATAGCGAAGCAGCTGATTTGCATGCAGCGCCGGTGCTGCATAACTATGCATGAACTACCTTTAATTGAACTTGCTTTAACCTTAGCTATTTTCCTTCACGTGATGGGTTTTGGATTGGAAAGTTCGTCGGAACAACCCCACGCCTGACACTAGAAAGTGTTCAAAATCTTAAAGCCCTAAGTATGTTCGGTTTGGTATCGTAATCGTCATCGATGAGGTGGCGACAACAAACGAAACGGTACGAGCCTGAATCCTGGAGTTGTTCCTGAGGAATTGCCTCAGGCCACCTGTTTCTTCACCGTTTTATTATTCGGAACATTGTGTAGAGGGACATTTTGAAATGTGCCAGTGCTGGTACAGCTATTGTTGCAGCACCGACGCAGCATTGCCAGTGACGTCGCTCATCAATGTTCGCCTCATTTTGTCTACGACTGCACAACTTTTGAAAGTGTTTTGAAACGCCTAAGCAGAACAGGGGATCAACAATATATCAAAACTCGCAAGTGACCTGTCTGCTTACGACAAACGGCCGTCGCAAAGCGTGGAGCGAATTTTGAGCGCGAGCGCGTGATGCACGAGGGTAGAGTGATAGACGAACGACACTTCCGGGATTCTTAGGGAAGCAGGAAAAAAAAAAGCACAAAGTACGCCAAACCCTTCTTGATGTCACTGCGGAGCGCAGAAACTTCAAATTCCACTTTCTGAAAGTATTTGTTTGCTGCAAATATGCCGTTTTCAGGCTCGAACGTTTGAGGGTGATGTCTAGGTTTCACGTCTAATCCTATAGTATCTGAAAATAATTTTTGGGGGTGTCAGGATAACATAACCTAAGATTTCTATATTTCGCTCAAACCCTCGTTTAAGAGGGCATTGAGCAGAACTGTTTTTCGGAAGGCAAAATATGTATTTTAGTTATTGCAATAACAATGAAGCAACATAAACGTTTTGTTATCAGTGCCACAATCTCTTCCATAGATCTGGGAAACTCGCAATTCAGTTGAGATATAAAATTAAGCTACTACTCACGTGTTCGCCTCTCGCTGCGAGCATGTTCATTAGGTAGTGTATCTGGAAGAAATAGAAAAAGTTGAAGAGCAGTGTACACAATAAAATCGAGCAATTTTCATTAAACTATATTTGGCGAAGCAGTTACAATGACAAAAATTATATATCAAAATAGTTTAAATTTTGCTTGTTACGCAGAAAAGTTTAAATAAAACTAGTTATTTCAGCAAAATGGTATTTCTTGGTACACCCAAAAAGAAAATACTTTGACACATGTTACAACTCACTCATCCAATAATAAATATATACATGCACATTCACTTTGTTTTGCAGTATCGTGTAACTTCACGATACTGCATAAAGGTCGGTTCACACATGAATGCCAGCGCGTATTCAGAGCTGGCCCTTATACTAAGTAAAATAATATTGTTAGACATAATTTAAAATAAAGCGTAACAATTTATTTGGAACACATATGGCGATAGTGCGTATATTTCAGAACTTTATGTTCAGGCCGGTCAACCTTTGCGAGAGAAACATAAAAAACACGAATAAAATTAATTTTCGTTTTATTCTAGTAAATCATAACTATATTGATAGAACTACTTCATTTTCAATACAACCAGAGCGACGAAAAGCAGAGATCCCAAAAATTCAGTAAAATAATGTGCAGCAGAGATTTTCAGAACTATTCTTTTTTCCACGTAATTTTCCCGAATGGAACCCGCTCCCAGATGAAATGTCTCTTCAGATTGCGTGTTCTGATTTTCATATCTATTGAATGAGTTGACATAAGTTTTATTCTTCGTGTTTATTCAATTTATGATCTACTTGTTTTTTCTTCTATTATGTAATGCTTTTTTGTATAATATGTTATAATGACATGTTTTCTCACGCTTTGTCCAGAGTTTTGTTTATTTTAAGAACGTGGTGTTATAAGCCAAATATGGGTACAGTAGTACCACACATTTGTGATTAATATAAAGACACCGACTTCACACAAGAGAAAAAACAACTTCAATAGACGTTTCGTTGATCATACCGGAGGCATCATTAGTGCATACACATAAATGATAAAGTATTAATCAACACAGCCCTATTTATAGGGAATGTCCATGTATGGTTCTGGGAGAAGGCTAAGGTCAAGAAGCCTGCGTGGGCCCCACGCAGGCTTCTTGAGTCATGGTTTATGCGAGGTGATGCATCAGCGTGCAACAAGACTTGGAGAACATAATAGCGCTTCACGACAGGGACGAAGAGTAGGTAGGAGACAACACAATGCGCTAACTTCAACTGGTTTAATCGTCAGAAAATCAAGGGTATAAATACTCTGCATCATCGCGCCATTCAACCAATCCCAAGCCACGCCACTGATCGCAAGAACTGTGCCTCTTTGTCGGCCAAATCGATCGACGCCACGCTGACACATCGATCCCCGTAGTTTTTTATCAGGTCTGCCTCTATAATTTTCCTTACCGTCTTATCTTTATGTTTTCTAATGACAGCGACCTGATGAAAAAAACTACGGGGATCGATGTGTCAGCGTGGCGTCGATCGATTTGGCCGACAAAGAGACACAGTTCTTGCGATCAGTGGCGTGGCTTGGGATTGGTTGAATGGCGCGATGATGCAGAGTATTTATACCCTTGATTTTCTGAGGATTAAAGCAGTTGAAGTTAGCACATTGTGTTGTCTCCTTCCTACTCTTCGTCCCTGTCGTGAAGCGCTATTATGTTCTCCAAGTTTCAGTACCAACTCGCCCAAGAATACGCATTGTGCAACAAGAGCCGTGGCTACCTCCCGGAAGCACACATGGACATTCCCTATAAATAAAGATCTGTTGATGAATACTTTCTCATTTATGTATATGTACGGATGATGCCTCCCGTATGGGAAACGAAACGTCTATTGACATTTTTTTCTGTTTTGTGAAGTCGGTGTGCTTATTTTAATCATGAGATCGCTCGGCTCATAGTGTATTTTTGCGCACACATTTGTGTTTTTCTTCGTTTTTATGTTGCGATCCTACAACTGTGTTTTCCTACCTTGGCTGCCCCTTGGCGGTCGGTTGTATGTATAAATAAGAACTGGTGGCGACTATTTTCTGCACAAAGCAGTATATTGCATGAAATGCACTATTTAGCAGTGATCGTTAAATTCCGTGGAAAACATTAAACAGTCTGTCCGAGAGTAAACAATCTGTGTTTTTATCAATTTTCGGGGAAACTGGTTTGGTGCGTAATGCGACTAGAGAGGAATGTAGGGAGGGAGTGGGAAGGAAGGGGGAGGAAAAGTACTCTAGTGAGGGGGGAGGAACGGGTAGGGAGGGAAAGGGAGACAGATGGGGAAAGGAAAAGAAACACTGTAGGAGGGTGAAGCAATAAAACGAGAGAGGGAGGGAAAGGGAAGGAGGAGAGAGGGGTGGGGATTGGGAATTCGCGTGCCGCGTGACATAAATTTTGACTCTAAATTTAGAGAGACTGAATTGATATGACAATGACCAGAGAGGGTGGGGGGCTAGACGAAGGGAGCAGAGAGAAGGGATGGAGATGGTAAAGACACTATAAGAAGAAATGGGGAGAAAGGGAGGTGGCAAGGGAGGAGAGAGACTGAGAAAGGGAATTGGCCTGTGCGATGATATATGTTAGCCCGCTAAATTTAGCCGAGAAACTTAATTGCTCTTAAGGTCACGTGATGTCAGCTTTCCCGCTAACCCTAGGGGCCAAAATAAATTTTTTTTAGGTCACGAGATGTGAAATTCGACGCTAAACTTCACGTGACGTGAGGTTGTCACGTGTGGCCGACTGACGTGAACGTCCTCACTAAATTTTGCGGAAGAAGCATAGACGAAAACACGGTCTAGTGGACAAATGTTTGGGAATTGGGGGTTCTGTTAAAAAAAGTTATGCTTAAAAAATGAAATAAACAATGCGTAAGTCTGATCTGTGTCCATAGTGCTAAGTTAGTGCCCTGCTGTATAGATACACACATCTTACTAAAGGACTGCACGATGCTGTCTAATGGAGATGAAATGGCCTGCGTGATGCCGAATTAGGCAAATCACAGAAATGCATAATACTGCAAAGCAGAGATTCTATAATACGAATTTTTGAAGATATGCTTCATTGATACGAAGTATCTTGGCAGTGAAACAAATCAAGGTCTAATTGTAGAACGGGGCTTAGTGTATTAGTTACTAGCCTAGGCTCATCAATAACGGACATATACAAATTGTAGTAAGACATTCAATTAAATGTCAATCAAACTCGAATCAAATCATCGATCTGAGCACGGCGTGAAGTCTGTAGCCGTTGGCGTCCTTATTTCTCGCCATTTTTTTTTCTTTTTCTTGCCGTTTATTTTTTTAATTTGTCTTATATTAGCACATAGCTCTGTTTTCTGGAGAGCCTACATTCACACTGGATTCCAAGAACGCAAATGCTTTGACGATATCGTCATCGGTCAGATAATTTAGCCATTATATATGTGGGTTCTTGTATCGTGTTCGATAAATTTAGGTGTGTCACTATTACAGGCCCAACATGATATCGTGGCGCATGCCCTGTACCAACCTTACACCTTTTCGCTCTTCGTTCTTTTTCACTCAAAGTACAAATACGAAGACTCAATATGCCAAAGTGTAATTAGTTTGTCTGGAACTGGCCCATGCATATCTTTCCTGCCCTACGATCGAAACTTGTTTATTGAAAGCGCTCATGGTTTTTAGTTGGCACCTTTGGTAATATGTGCATGCAGTTATAAAGGATGCTTTTGTCCACATAACGTTGAATATTTGAATATAATCGCGTATCAACCCGAAATGAGAGTAGTAATGTATTAGTCGCTTTCAGGCAGACTGTTCATCGCAGTGTAGAGTGATTAGGATAAATATTGCTTTATTTTGTTCTGCAGAGTCAATTCGCTAAATCACTGATTCAGACATATACTTCCAGTTATTAACTTGCTGGGCATAAAAAAGAAGCTCAATGCCAATGTATTTTAGGTAGAGTGCTTGTTTTTTCTGGTTTCCGAAAAGCCATCCAAGACGCCGCGTCAAGACGGATTTGCGTTTCTTTTATATTTTTCTCAGCCATTCGTGATCATGCAGGAGATCCGTTAACTTTTGTGTAGGACAACGCGTCGAGCACGAACGTCGTCTTTTTTAACATGTCTAATTATCCGTATCCGATGACGTTGAGCAGGTTTATAAATTAAACAATATGTATGTTTTTATTAAAATAATTTACTTTGACAAACTATTTAACACTTCAAGCATTATTTAATCGACGTACTTCAGCGCATTGGCCCATTGGCCATGACCGTTAAGGACAAGCAGTTTGACTTTGTCATGAGTAAATTTTGCAGGATAATTTTGATCGAAGTTCGTGCGAACACTTGGCATACTTGGCGAGTGTTCCCCCGAAAATCGGGAAAGACAAACAAATAATTCCAATTTCCTGTAACATTACTTAGTCAACGCCGCAGATACTTTTTTTTCTGCATTACCCACTAAAGGAAGTGATATTATTGTTAGTACTTCCGTCAAAATGTATTATTCCAATTATTACAAAAGGCAAACCAATTGAGTATGTAATATACCGGCGTCATTTTCTTCGTGATTCATAGAGGGCTCCACCTCGTAGACCCTGTGTGCAAGATGTCCATCTTCAGATCGAGCCATCAAAGGCAGAGGAGCGATGCGTAACTTGTCACTGAGTACACCCGTCTGAAAAGGAATTAAACGCTCCCATAAAATCACCAAGCACGAATTTGACGCACGTGACACGTGGTTTAGATGGTGAACTTTACTTTCCTTTTGGAGCGCAGCTCTTAGGCACCCGTTTCCGGCTTGAGCGGCGTCGCCGTCGCCGTCGGCGTAATTGCTTTGTGCATTATGGACGCGTGACGTCACTGCTGACGTCATCAGTGACGTCATCGGCATCGTCACTGATGGCGTCATCAGTGACGTCACTGACGACGTCATCGGCATCGTCATCGTCATCGTCATCGTCCCTGATGACTTCATCAGTGAAGTCACTGATGACGTCATCGGAATCCGCATCGTCATCGTCACTGATGACGTCAGCGGCATCCGCATCATCATCGTCCCTGATGACGTCATCGCCATCCGCATCGTCATCGTTATCATCACAGATGACATCATCAGAGACGTCACTGATGACGTCATCGGCATCCGCATCGGCATCGGCATCGTCACTGATGACGTCACTAGTGATGATAACGTCATCAGTGACGTCACTGGTAACGCCACTAATGACGTCATCGTCACGTGACCTCATAGAGGTCACGTGACCCTCGTGAGGCGACGGCGACGCCGCTCGGAGGGAGGAGTAGCAGACAGAATGAGGAGGTGACGAGGAGAAAGTAAGGATATACCTTCCCCTCGATACCCTTTCCCTCCTCCTCCTCAAGAGCTGCGCTCTAATTCGGCGTTACAGGGAGTTGTAAACGGCTTTCATTTTTTTTTATTCATAACTGCTTCGCAGTATAATTTCAATAATCGTAATGTTCAGATTTAATTTTTCCTGAGGAACCGAGTGGGCATTATACAAACGTGTGGACAGGTACGAGATGAGAAAATCAATACATCAACATACTCACAATGTAAGACACACGGCGGTACACTTATGGAATTAAACAAAATGAGGGTTAGGATGCTGGAAGACTACCATCATATTGAATCAAAAATGCTCTCCGGTAGGGCCTTTTACTGGCTTATGTCGACTACCGGAAAATTGGCAGGATATGATGTACGGTCAAAACTGAACGGTATTTGATGAACGGTAGCAACATAGAAAAATTGCTTGACCAGATGGCAGTGAAAACTTTATGGTAGTTTTTGTAATACAGAATTGCATGATGTCCTTGTAACTATAAAACAAAAATTTTGTTGAATTAACACCAAACCTTGGGGTTATGTCGGGTGTGCGCTACAGTCAAGTTATAGACAGACCTGGTTGAAGAATTCACGTCTTATGATTGCAAAATGCCAGTCTTAGAATGCAAACGAGACCAGAAAGTTCACTCACCTTATGACATGAATAGAACAGTTCCAAAATCAAGACTCCCTACATGTCAGCCGTCCCGCATACCTAACATGATTAACATCTATTACCAGAACACGCGCGGACTCCGAACGAAGTCTGATGAATTCAAGGTTAATGTTTTGCACAGTGCTCCTGATATTGTCAAACCTGAAAATAGCGCAAAAAATTGAACAAAGGACAAGTGAAAGAAGTGCACGGCAGCGCTTTGTCCGTGCACATCTTTCACTTGTTCTTTGTTAAATTTTTTGCGCTGTTTTCACGTTTGACGATGTTAAACCAACTAGCCCAACTTACCGCCTTGTTGATCCTGATATAATATGTTTAACTGAGACGTGGCTAAATGATAGCCTTGTCAAATCTGAATACTTTCCGGCAACCTACAATGTGCATCGGCGTGACAGAAATTACGTGAAAACCGGACAGAAGTACGGAGGCATAGTGCTAGTTGCGATTACCGGTTCCATAAACTCACACAAAAGGTACGACCTGGAGCTATGTGATGAATGTGTTTGGGTGGAGTTGCAGACAAGGAATGGTTTTAATTTTCTGATTGTAAATTATTATTTTCTCCCATTGTATGAGCATACGTCTTTTATTGACCACTATAACGAAATCCAGGCAAAAATTGCCTTTAGGAAGTATAGAGTGCATATATTGGGTGATTTTAATATTCCGGATGTAGACTGGGCTTCTGGTCTCGTCAGTGGTGTTAATTCAGACAGAACAAGGAAAGCATTCTTTTTACTTGATTTTATAAACTTCAATGGTCTTCACCAGTTAAATCACCTTAAAATTAATGCGGGGAATGTGCTTGACCTTTTCCTGTCTAGCTCACCTACACACTGTGTGTCGTCGGTTCTTCAGCCATTAGTGAGTGTTGACGAGTTCCACCCGCCATTTCCCGTCTCTTGTCGGCTCTCCCCACTTATTAATACTAAGAACACGTCTTCAGTCTTCAATTTTCGCAAGGGCGATTATCCGAGTCTGTATAGATACCTTGCACATTATGACTGGACGACGACTGTGCAAGAACCTTGCGTTCAGTCAGGAGTTCAAAACGTTACTTCGGTTATTCGTCATGCGTTAGACCTATATATCCCTAAAAAAGTCATTCGCACATCGAAACATCCCCCTTGGTTTTCTTCAGAATTAAAAATGTATTTACAAAAAAAGCAGCGATTTCACAAACAGTATAAGAAATCGGGACTAGAGGTTTCCTATAATAAGTTCGCTATTTAGCGTGCCTTGGTAAAGAAGCTGTACGCGCGTGACAAAGCGATTCATTTGGAATCTGTTGAACGCCGTCTGACCCGTGAGCCTGAAGAATTTTGGAAGTTCACAAAAGAGCATGTACGTGAAAAAAATAGAGGAATTACTTTGCATGACAATTCCGTTTACTATTCCTCAAGTCAGAAGGTTGCAAATATTTTTGCAGGTCACTTCAGCTCATATTTTTCCTTGCAATCACCTTCGGCACAACATGGTGATTCGATTTTCTACACTCATGATCGCCTTTCTTTCTGCGTTATAACTGATGACGAAGTTTTGCGGGCGATTGGGTGCCTCAAACCTAAACGCTCCTTGGGTGCTGACTCAGTCCCGTGTTTTATTATCAAGGGTTGCGGGGACATTCTGACTCCTATTTTACGGCATATATTCAATTTATCGTTTCAGTCTGGTATTTTCCCGAAGCAATGGAAAGATGCTGTTATAGTTCCAATATTCAAGGCGGGAGATGCTTGCCTCGTGAGCAATTACAGGCCTGTGTCTCTACTGTGTGGGTTTTCGAAGGTTTTTGAAATTGCTGTGCAAAGGCGACTTTTTTTTTATTTCCGCCTAAAAATCAATCCTGCGCAGCATGGATTTCTTCAGGGGAGATCAGTTGAGACTAACCTATGCAAATTTTTCAATTACTTGTCTCCAGTCGTTTTTGGCCAGAGGCAAGTTGATACTGTGTACTTTGATATGTCGAAGGCTTTCGACACGGTGAATCATCTTTTGCTGTTGTCGAAACCGCGGTTGTATGGTTTATGTCCTTTGTATCTTGCTTGGTTTGAATCACACCTTTCTTCGCGTACAAACGCGGCTCGAATTTCGAATATTTTCTCGGATCATTTCATCTCAACGTCAGGCGTTCCACAGGGCTCAAACTTGCGCCCTCTCCTTTTCTAATTTGTATAAATGATATTGTTTCTGTTGTCAAGAATGCTAAGATTCTACTGTTCGCAGACGACATCAAACTTTATTTCTCGGTGCGTGGCTTAGACGAGTGTTTATTACTAAAACAGGATATTGATCGTGTCAGTGTGGTGCTCATCTAATCTATTGTTCCTTAACACACAAAAAACAAAAGTTATTTCTTTGTCCAGAAAGCGTGACCCGATTGTTTTTCAATATACGCTACCGATTGCGACAATGATTCAGCGTGTGACCACCATGCGTGACCTCGGCGTTATTGTTGATAGCCATCTTTCATTCAAAGAACATGTCACTTCAATGGTGGGTACTTCCATGCGTGTACTGGGGTTGATTTCACGTATGACGCGGGAATTTTCGAGTTGCAGATGTTTGGTCTATTCGTTTTGTTCCTTGGTTCGACCAAGACTTGAATTCAGTTCCATAGTATGGAACGCCTTTTCTGTGAATCGCTGCAACGAAATTGAAAGAGTTCAGGAGCGTCTAGCTGGTTCGAATTGCATACCATCGATACTTTCATCGTCGTCGTTATTATAGTTACGAATCACCACTTAAATATCTTAACTTTCGAGAGCTAAGTAAACGGCGTACCATTCATGATTTGCCATTCTTGCACAAAGTCATCTCTGGTAGAATTGATAGTATTTCACCCTTATCATCTGTGAACTTTCATGTACCTATTCGCACTTGTAGATTTCTTTTGCAATTTTACCCAAATAGACCATACCATGCCTCGCCAATGTCTAGGATCTAGCACCTTTGCAACGAGCTTTGTTCTCCAGATCTTGACATCTATGCGGATACGTTTTTAAAAATGGTGAAGCATTTATAGAGTGTGAAATTTTGTTTGCGTTTCTAGTATTGTGTTTTGATTTTAGCTCTTTGTGTTATCTGTAGTGTCTTGGTATATGCGTGTATTACGTTTCTTAATTTTTTAGTTAGTATTGATTTATTTGTGCCTCAACAGAGAATAGCATCTTTAATGTGATTGTGATTTTGTTTATAGTGTACCAATAAGTAGGCCTTCCTGGCCGTTTTTGGACACTACCAGAAAATAAAGTATATTATTATAGTTCTTGAGAACGGAGTTTTCTGCACGACTTTTATGGTGTCTATGATTGACATTTTAATAAATAATCTTATTGAATGCTACAGCTTATGTATTAAGGAAAATATTTTTACTTTCTTTTCTCATAAATATATTCTGGTTGCAAAAGACGCTAGGACGTTTTGAAATAAGAAGTTGAGAATGCCATTTTTTTTAAATTAACCATATCATATCTGACCAGAATACTTATTTGATCTTTACTATTAAAATCCTTGACGGGGTATCACCAATTGCGTAGGTATAAATGGACTAAATAACCTTGTACAAAAGGTAACGGAATTGTAAAAATAAAATATGACTGTTTGTTATGTAGGTAAAATCCGGTATTATCAGATTTTACCAAATCATTTCACTTTCCCGTATATGCCAACTTCTGATTCAGAGTTCACACTTAGTCGTAGGTTGTGCATTTATTCAGGGATCGGCATAATAAAAAAAATGCTGATTTAATTGAAATCAACTTATATTCAATTATATCAGTGATGATTCACGTATTTGCATTTACGCCCTACCGAAAAATCCGGTATAAGTTTTCGCTATCCGGATTATGGAACCGGAAATCTATCTGGATTCTATCTGGATTTTATCTGGAATTTAGGTTTTCAAAAAGTATTCCTTTGTCTGCAATCTGGATTTCGGGTTTCCAGAAACAAATTTCCGGTTCCATAATCCGGATAGGGAAAAGTTAACCGGATTTTTCGGTAGGGCGTACACTTTTCTAGGGTGGATCTATTCATGAAAAAATACCTGATGGCCAAACACCTACACAAATGAGGATGTGGAGTTGTGTTGTGAATGAAGGCATGCCATGAAGATACGCGCTCAGAATGAATATATTAGTAAGCATAAAAGGAAAGGTACACCGTGTGACTATGTCTTATTACAATGCAAAGTCCACACAAGCGAAGACTAAAAAAGAATATTATTGATTAACATATTCTATGCGTATAATTTACCGACGTAACTTTTTCCAGTCGGTTCTTACGATCGACCGACTAGAAACAATAACTCACCATGCAAATTAAATAGAACGGGGCTGTAGAGGTCGGAAAGGTTTGTTTTATTCCGAAGTGTTATTTTTTTTTCTTTGAAAACGTTTCGCGCTTTCTACTCATAATTATTTTGTATTTTCATTATACGCTATGTAACGCCAGTCAGATAGGAATGTTCAAGGGTGTATACTAGTGCGCACATTTGTTTTCTGCTTCACTTTCCCCATCATACGCTTGTATATCTCTTCATCAGTGGAGTACTTGTTTTTTGCCTTCGGTAAAAATAAATACTCTAAACATATTGTAATTCGGATTTTTATAAAATAAAATTACACTCAAGGCATATTTTTACCATGCGTTTAAGATCTGAAGCTCAGTTTTATGTGTCTTTAGCATATGGTCCGCGCGTCAACCCGGTCTTAAAACAAACTGAAAGTATATGATGACCTGCGGCAATTCTTTTTTTCGGTAAAATATGCTATTTGTTTTATAAAGTTTAAAATCCGTGTACGTGTTGTGTATTTATTTTTACCATTGACGTTTAGAGCAGGTTAATTGAGTTTTTTTCTTATAAACAGGCTACTTTGTGCGAGGCGCTGTTAGTTTTTGTTTCCGCTTTGCCCACAGCCTCGCGCTAGCATAAATTAGCGTGCCTGTGTCAGCGTGTTGCGCAGTATTGCCCCTTTTAATTTCTCCCGAAATCCCCGCAGTGACTTCACGTTTTTGTTACATTTCAAATTAATTCTTTTTTGCGGAAATATTTGATCATAACCAAACTATGAAAAATATTGTGATTCTTACTGACTTATTAACGTGACAGTGTGAGATGTCAACGTTTATTCTGACATCGCTTAAATAAACGGGAAAAACAAAATATCCAAGGAAATCGGTGCTTTTTCTTGACTCTATTCTTGCGGAAACAATTATGATATTCTCGTGGTTATACAACATGCACGTGAGTATAAATACTGTTATTTATTGTATAGCGAATGCGACACTCGGTTGTAGCATTGTGCACCTAATAATGTAAAAGGGGGCATACCTATTTATTAATTCCCCTTAAAAATGGTTTCAAGAGACATAATGTCAGAACTATTGAAGATAGTGAACCATTTAATACTGTACAAAAAATGTAAACAAAAACGGAAATAACATATGCGTAATTATACATGATAAAACGACGCGGAACGAGTTTCTACCTTTCCCAGGTAACACGCCTGAAAAACGCCGAACTTGGCACGAGCTTGGCAATCTTAAGAGCCAAACTTAATTGGGCCAAATACGTATTTTGCTCCAAGGCGTACTTTAGTGCCATATTGACTTGCTTCCGCATTTGTATGCCCTTTTCCTAGCCTGCCAAATAATGACCAAAGTGCCTTTATCAGGAAAGCAAGAAAATGGCTTCCGATGTAATCCTTTGAATTATCCAGACTTAAGCCAAAGGTGCCAGATGACGGTCAAATATGAAGCATAAATCTAGCACTTGCTCGGCGAATGAGGGCCGAACTACCGAGACTGTGGCCAAAGAAGGTCAAGTTATACCCTGCCTCGGTTTCTTCGGTCTTTTAGGGGCATACTCTCTCAGACACATCTGAATTTTTACCCAAATGACTGTGCTGGCTGGCTATAGAAGGCTCACCATTTAATTTTGTCAGTTTGTCGCACGGCAAACTGACGTAACTAAAAAGAAAGCTTTTTTTACATTATATACACAAAAATGACTCGTTTTGTGACATTTATTCAGGCATAGATTTAAAAAAAAATATATTCAATGTGTTAGGGCCTTCTATAAAAGTTAAAATAAAGTTTCTGCATTTCCGATTTAGTGATGTGACGGAGGTGTGCATTTGACAAAAACATCTCGCTACCTAGTTTTTTTTTTGCAACATTACTTTTAGGTAATTCTGGGATTATCACATATTTAGACTATGTAGTGGGTTGTGAACGTACACCAGACAAATATATATATATAGCAGGTTTTTCTATTATTCCCTACTCATATTCACATTAAAATAAAAACAGAATACATTCGTACCACTTCAATACTGTCGTCGATTTCTTTTAAAGCTACAGCGGCCATCTTCTCTCTGTCTTGATACAAATTTTCTTCCAGCTCAGTTCCGTTCATCTGAATAAGACACAATCGATATTAAAATGTGTTTTAAGCATAAACGTTTATCACGTATAAAATATTCAGACAATGTGGAATGAAATATTTACGCGGAGTTTTATTTTAGAGCGCAGCTCTTAGGCGCCCATTTCCGGCTTGAGCGGCGTCGCCGTCGGCGTAACCAAGGTCACCCCAAGGTCACGTGACCACCAAGGTCACGTGACCCCTCCCAAGGTCACGTGACCCCTCCCAAGGTCACCTCAAGGTCACGCGACTCCCAAGGTGACCCCCACGTGGCCCCTCCAAGGTCACGTGACCCCCCTCCCCGAGGTCTTGACCACCCCTCCACCCCCCCCCCCCCCACGAAGTCACGCGACCCCCCCCCCCCCCCGAGGTCACGTGACCCCCTCCCCCCGAGGTCATGTGACCCTCCGGAGCATATTAAAGAATGAGGGTAGGAGGAGGAGAAGGAGGGATCTACCCTCCCCTCAGTACCCTTCCCTCCTCCTCCTCAAGAGCTGCGCTCCAATTCGGCGTTACAGGGAATTTTAAACGGCTTTCACTTTTTTTATCTATTTTTATTGATCTACATCTTATTCAAATTAGATCATGCAGGTCTGTTCGGTCGATATTTTGTTTGCTCATATTTCTTTGTTACTCCCCAAACCAAATCATAAAAAGTTAAAAAAATGTATTTCTCGAGAAACAAAACTCAAGTCTGCCTAAGAGCAGTAACCCCCATTTGCTTTTGTTTTTTGTATATGCAAAGTTTCATGAACGTAAATACTGGAAACGATAAAAAAACTTATATATTTTATAAAGATAGTAGTTTCTAGTGCTAACAATATTTATAATATCTACAAGTCTGGAAAGCATATATCGTGCGCCGAAAATGCGGAAAACCTCGCAACTTCGACATTTTAGCTATATAATTATGAGTTATTATTTCTTAGTGTTTCTTAGAATATAACCTTGATATTTTTTATATACTATACACAAAAGGGTATATATCAGTGTATTTTCTCTATTCAGGTCATAACAGCATGTTTACAGCCCTTCAAACATGTATAAAGGTAAAACATACCGCAACTTCAACGTGCAATCAAAAAACATATTTATTTGATGTTATTGAACAGAAGCATTTGACACTATATCGCCGTATTTTTTATTTAAACATGTTAATTTTTTTGTCTTCGCATAATATATAGCGCTTCGATGCACAGACTTTTGTCTACTTCGACATGTTTAGTCAAAACTGGTGAGGTTTTATAGCATAACATTTTTAAGCTTCACTTGTTAACTCTTTTTCAAATATAGTTCTCAAAAGGACGTATCATCTAGAAATGAATTGATGCTCTCGGTTATATATGAAAGGATTAATATCCCGTCAAACATTTCAAAAGGAAGAACGTTTCACAAATTCAATGTGCAATTTTTATGTTTTATGTTCAAGTGATGTATTCTATCACATTGCCATGTTTTCTCAATAAAATCAAATTGCATTATCTTGTACAAAATACGCTCTGAAATGCATCTTCCGAACCGAAATGTTTTTCACACTCTGCGGCCTCATGTTTTTTTCGTTTCATATAGTTGGCATTTTGATACCTCAGACCCATGTGTTTTCAAAAACACTATCTCCAAACTCCGGTCTAAAAACATGCGTTTCGTGCAAGGCTTGTCATATTGCCGCGCGCAAGGCTGAGAAAGCAACGCTCGGTCACGGTCCTCCAGAAAGTTCCCGTTTATTCATGTACCGCACGTAACTTCTATCATTTATCCCTGCTTTTGTTTTCTAGAAAGTGCGTGTTCATTCTCGCCCCGATCACGCGACGCTCGAACCGCTTTCGCCGAATCTTCGAGATAGCGGCGCACTCTAGATAAGAGGCCGCCCGCGACCTTGTCGAGTCAGTCTCGCCCTAGCGCTCGATTCTGCTGACACGCCGACTTCGACGCCCGCGACGCTCTGCTTTCTTCTGTTTCCTTCTTTATTTTCGGCACAAGTTCGCCACATTAAACGTTTATTTCTCCCTATTTATTTCCTGTTTTCTTTTGGTCACCAACCGTGACAATATTATGAGGCGCTGGAGAAAACCAGCCTTCTGCATTAAGTCCTTTATTCGAACTCTTTTTGTTCGCGATCCGCCCATTGAAAAGCATGCATGAAGTGTCTGAGCACGCGCCTCGTATCGCTGCACCGCAGTATTCCTCCGCAGCATAAAGGCCTCCAGCTTTCATCGCCTTCGACATGGCAACCAACACCGAATGAAAGGAAGCACGCACGACACCCGCCGTCTGAAAGCCAAAGTTTAATAGTTTTGCATTGAGGAGCCGCAGCTTGTCTCTGCAAAGCATCATGAACGCAGAGCCCCCCCCCCCCCCCCCCCCCCCCCTCCCCCCCTCTGGGTTCACGGCGCTTCGCCGCGTGAACGCAGAGGAGGGAGCCTCTGAGTTCATGCCGCGGGGGAGGGCGGGGGGGAGGGGGGTTAAATTTCTTTCTAGTGACGCACGAGCCCTCCGACAAGGTCCTTCGTTCGTTGCCATGGTGACGGCGATGAAAGTAGATGACCTTTATGCTGCGGAAGAACACTGCGGCCCAGCGATACGAGGTGCTTGCTAAGGCGCTTCCCGCATGCTTTTCAATGGGTGGAACGCGAACAAAAATAGTTCGGAATAAGGACTTAACGCAGAGGCTGGTTTTCTCGAGCGCCTCATAATTTGACGTCTTTTACACGAAAAACATGTTTTTTTTTTTGTTGTTGTTGATTTTTTGTCATCTCGCGCCTTGGTTTTTTATCTGTTTCATGGGTCTAAAGCATCAAACAGCCGAAGCGTTTTTGTAAGACTTGCGAGGATTTTGCACACCGAGAACTTTGGCGACGTTGTGGCGGACGCGCGAGGAACGAGCGAGGGACCAATGCACGGGGTGCGAGGCACGTGGCCAGGGAACGCATCGGCCAGTTCAGATATTGCAGCTGGCAGCGAAAGCCGCCGAACACAGGGCTCAAAGATTAAGGATATCTCAATCAGGACTTGACCGCTTTCTCTGGACAAGCGGTGAGTGAGAAGGCCCGGGAGAGCAGTGTAACGATGAACGACAAGAACATGATCAGCGACTAACGCCTGCTCGGATGCCGCTTTTAGGCCAAGGGCAATTTCTGGGGGACTCAGCTGGAAAGGGTACGCCAGGTAGCTGGGCTGGTTCGAGCAGCCGCAGACTTGCAGCCCGTCGAACGCTCTGGCAGAGCTGGCTGGGGGAGCGTCGGATATATTCCAGTTCTTTGCCTGCGGCTACGTGAGGGACCTCTGACTGCGAGTGGGGCTGATCTCCAAGATGATGGCCTTGGTATGCGTCCACTTTCTGCTGTGCTACACCATCTGGGAGGAGCTCTCTTAAGACCAACGCTGACGAGATCAGGCACGCCAAGGAGAGTCTTCAAGAGTCCCAAGAACCGGTAAGAAAACATTGAGACGATAAAGTGAGGCGTCAATTCCCCGCTTTGTGAATCAGCTGTTCAGTTCTCCCGCCTTGCTCCTCCAGTCATGCTTACGTCGCATCAGCCAAGGAAGATGGAAAGATTCTAGAATGCAGGAATTACCACTGAAGATTAATTGATTTTTAGCGACCATCCCGGCGTTTTCGTTAGTTTTCCCTTTTCATCCGAGCTACTCCTGGTGCAAGCTGGAAGACATCTTTTTTTTTAAGTTAAGCGGCGCTAGTGATTGTTGTGTATGTATAAAGCAATGTAACAGGTTCCTATTCTCACCACCAAGGCGCGCTTGTCTTTGCCCTGTAAAATGTGTCTTCGCCATATTAAATTTATTCTCTGTGTGATGTTCCTCTGTGTGGGAGCTTCTGTTCTTTGGCGCTTCGGCGCCACACAACAATGGCGACGAGGATGGGATGGAAGATCGAACGAACCGAGTAACAACGTGGCAAACAGCACAATGCCGAAGTTCACGGAGTTCAAGCCGGAGGAGGACGACGTCGACGAATATCTCGAACGCTTCGAGATTTTCCTTCGAGTGAACGCTGTCAAGACGGAAGACAAGGCCGTGACGCTGCTGAACTACATCGGGAAAGCGTCTACCAGGTTCTGAAAACCTTGCTCGTCCCAGACTCGCCGGTATCAAAATCGTACAACGTACTTTCCGAGGTGCTGAAACGCCAGTACGCGCCCTGGCGCTTAGTGATTGCAGAGCGCACGAAGTTCCATTGGAGAAATCAAGAGGTCGGTGAGAGCCTAGCGGACTTCTCCTTGGCTATCGAGAAGCTCGCCCAGACATGCGCGTTCAAGGACTACCTCGACCAGGCTCTTCGGGACCGGCTCGTGGCGGGGTGTCGCGATCTGGAGGTACAGCGGACACTCATCCAGCTCAACGACGATTACTTTGACGAAGTTCTTAAGGTGGGCTTGGCCCACCTTAAGAACTTTCTCTGCGCAAAACGGACGAGATACGACAGCCCGGCGTTCCGGACTCAATGGACGTGCACCGCGTTCAAGGTGCTGGTGAAGGACACTCCGGGTGTCTACCTTCCGCCACTGCATCGCCACAGGTCCAGTATCAGCGTACGGTAGGCGCTTGTTTTAGATGCGCTAGTACCATGCATGCTTCCGAGAGTGTCCGTTTTCGAAAGCAGAGTGTTTCAAATGCGGGAAGCAGGTTGGTCTACTCACGCGCGTCTTGCTCTTTAGGCCTAGCGAAAGTCCAAAGGAGGGTTACGCTGTTTGCTTAGGTCTGAATCCGCCTTATCCTTATATCGCACTCACTGCACTTGCACGCCGGTCCTTTAGACTGCTCTGATAGTACTCGCTGTTACGCGGACCCGCGTTTCCACTAACTGTGAACATAATAGCAGATTTCGAAGCGCTCTATGTTTTGCGCTTGATCTTCTTTATGTTTTACCAAATAATGCGAGACATTTTGATGGTAAAACATGTCGATGTTTTGTGAATATTTTATATGAAATTTGAAAAATCTGCGTTTTTTGCTTTGTATTTAATGGTACGTTGAATTTGCGGCATTTTTTATCTCTAGACATGTTATAAGCTCCCTCTTTAGTTTTATTTATGAACTAGAGAAAATGTTTTTATCTAAACGGTAGAACTTTTAAAAATATTATATAAGAAAAAATGAACAGTAAAGTTTAAAAACGTTGAGATAACCGCTCACCAATATTATTAAAAAAATAAAAGTAGACAAATATGTGCGTTTATAAGCGCATAAGTTTATACAAAGACGAATATTTCAACATTTTTAAATTAAAACACTAGGGGATATCATGTAAAACATCTCGCTTTAATTTAAAAAAAAATATGGAACGGTGAAGTTGTATAACTTTTTTTACATTTAGAAAAGTTTCAAGCGCGGTAAAATTTCTTTATAAAATAAAGCACCGAAATATATACACCATCATGTGTATTATATATAAATAAAGGTCATATGCCAGATCTTAAAAAACACTGCGGTATAAGTCACAAATATAAAGACAAAAATGTCAAAGCAACAAGAATGGTGCATTTTTGAAGCGCGATTATAGTTTCTACAATCCTCGGTAAAAATATTTGTGTATATCAGCACTCTAAACAACTATCCCGATACAATTTTTTTTTTTATTTTTAATTTGTGTATTGTCGATTACGTGCCGTCAAACTTTGCACAAAATTACAGAACGCCAAAAGGGAGTAGCCGCTTTGACGCAGCCTGAATTTCTTTTTCGTGGGCTCTTTGTGATTTCGTCTTCTTCATACATTGACAATTAATAACTAAAAAAATTTAAAAAAATAAAATATCGACCAGACAAGTTTTCACAATCTTACTTAGACATACCGTAGAGCTACGTATTCTTTAAAAACCTATCTATTGTTTTAGCATAAAATAAATATTTTATTTCAAAAGCTTCATATGTAAAATAGCAATGCTCGAGTGTCATAAACATTTCTCACCAGTTTCATATTACGACACTATAAAGGAAAGCTACAAGCATATGCTATTATACTAACTATTCAGAAACTTTATTCGAAACTACGTATTGAACATCTGACTACTAGAATAGTAATCTTAGTTAAAGAAGCCAAACGTTATAGTTCTTAATGAATTGTACAAGTACGCATAGGAGTTGTTTTTCAGTGCTGTGTATGGTCGACACTTAACAAGTAATGCGTAAAGTAGAAACTATTAAAGAATTCAGTTCCCTGTATTTGCAAATTGTAAACGTGTTCAGTATTCGTAGTAAATGACAGAAAGTTGTAACTAGATGCCATGTGCCTCAAAGAATATATTCTTGTCGTCGTTTTCGGCTTTCTGCTGGCACCCGGATTACTTTTCTTCGTATATGCATGTCCGTAATGGTACCCCGATATGTCTCTTTATTCTCCACTGGCAATCTCTGCGGCCCATTAAGTAAACGTTATAATTTTGCAAAGCTCGTAAATAAACTGTAGTAACGTGTGAAAACAGGCGAGCTGATGCATAATCAGGGAAATAATAACATCGCAAAAATGAACACAATGACAAGTAGAAGACACCGTATTTGTCTGCCTTCTACACGTCCTTGAGTTATTTTTTTATTTTACTTTTATTTATTTCTATATAGATAAATAAAAGTTTTTATCTGGCAAGATTTGCATGCATATAGGGACAACTAACTCGGTCTCAACTGGGCACGCAAACATATTTATAACTTACAACACACGTAAATATATGGTTGTTCAACGCCGTATTTTAAACTTAAAATATAAGGTTGTTTACTGCCTTCTTTATATTACGGGTTTTCGAGAAAATTCTTTGCGATTCAATATGAATATTTTTTTTTTTTAATTCCCAGTGTTGCACAATTTATCAGTGCCGTTGTCGTCGTTCACTCCAGCATCAGTGAGGATGTAGGTGCCAATATATACATGCTGTTAGTTAAAACGTCGGCAGGACTGTGAAGACCGCTCGTCTGGCGTTAAATACTTTGATCCAAGCATTAGTTTGAGTGTATCTACCTTTCAGGCCCATACTGAGGTGTATTCTGTTTCGCTGTCATTTTTGAGGGTCGTTGTTGTGATTAGGTTCGTTGATTGATTAATCACTCTGATATCGGGATGGAAACTCTTTGACCTCAACTGCATCTGAGGTTCATGATTCCTTATACGCAATGTTTTGTTTAGTGGAAAAACTTACGATTGTTTCAGCTGGAACTCCGTCATTACTCTCTGTGAAAACAAGTGAGTCTGCCATTACGTAGAGTTTTTCCAAACGAAGAGTTAGTCCGTCTTTAATGTGCAGCACTTTTTGTCCGTTGATTCCTCTCGCCTCGAACAACTTTGGATATACGATGTATTCGGGAAAAGGCGCTGCATATTCAAGAAAGTATGTAAAGGTTAGTCAACGTTTCGCATTCGCTGATATGTAAGGTTCCATGTTTTCGGGACTAATTTTTATTCAAAGTCTGGGCATTTTTATGGTTTTTTTCGTCAGTGACTCTAATTTTAAGGTATCGGAAAACTTTTGTATTTAACGGGGCTTGTGTTGTTTAGGAGAGAACGGGCATGACATTTTCCGAAATTCAAAGAACATTCACATAATCCGAAAAACCGGAAAACATACCCGTTGCCGATAAGGCAAATAAACGAGATAAAACATATGGTTTCCAAAGAAGTCTCAAGGACAATTTAGTTTGGGTCGAGTTTCGAGCAAACACAAAATATAACCAAGATACGGATTTTCCTCGCGTGCTTATGCAATAATAGTGAAATTGGGGTAATTTCTAGGTTTTCCCCGACTAACAAATAAGAGGCAGGATCTACGTTTACCTTTCAGAGTTAATCGGTATGCACCAAAACACAAACCCATACGTATCGATAATTTTCAGATGTAAATGGTATGCGGCTGCAATGGGTCAAGCAAATTGAGGCCGTTGTGTAGCTATTAAAATAGAGACTTTCCCATCTTTAGTATACATAAAATATGTCAGAAGATATCTAGCGTACTTGAAATCTACGCGAATGCTTGGATCTCACAGTGATAATAAAAGTGCGATTCTATTATTAATACCAATATTTAATTTGGTGTTTTTACTTGGTCGTTTTATATCTAAATGAAGACACAATGCATAGAAACAGAAACGATCACCCTTAAAATACCATTTTAATGTTTGAGCCTACGACGTTTGGCAACAATTAAAAACATTGTGCTAAGTATTTTTAGTATTATGTTATAATGCAAGTTATTCCGCAAATGGCACACATGATAGTTCAAAAGCAGGAATGACAAAGTGGTTAATACGAATTAAGCATTGAAACGATTCCCGTTAACAAACAATTTGATATCGCAAGTATTTGTTTGCATGCACTCCGCCGTTTCAAGTTCATTTCTTTGTTTAATTTACGTGCCATATAAGAAAATGATTTAGTTCTAAAAAAAGGTAGGTACTTCGGGACCGTAATTTTTTAATACAAAAACTGTCGGTTATTTGGTAGCGCACTGATACACCGCAAAACATTTTTTTTTCCAGGCGAAAGAATATGGTGTAAAAAGACTACCCAATCAACATTTTTCTCCGGTGGCGTAAATATGTTAATTCAAGTGGAAAAACACAACTGCTGGAAACCGAAACCTAAACTTGACTGGGGAGTAAGACGAAAGATCATGAGGAGAAAAATACCGAAATTCACGTGGCTGTGCAATTTTTGTATTTTCAATCAACAAATTTGCAGCTTTTTAGCAGTGATGGATCTGACGCGTTACAAGAAAAGAAGCTACATGTAACGCGGTAAGTATGTTACAAACGTAATAACGTGCTCGTTAGAAGCACAAATTACTAACGAATAAAGTAATGTCGTATTTATTTTAGGATAGTTTCTAGCAAATTAAGTTGCTCGATTCTTACTCGTTATTTCTGATTAAATGCGGCCACACGATTGAAAAAAAAATTTTTCTGTTTTGTTTATTATGAACACTACGTAAAACTGGCAAAGAAACCCCAACAAAGCTATGTACAAACGGCGCCATTTCAAACCCTTTCGGAAGGCACTTTTGACGTTCCCACGACCGGGCCCGAAAGGCACGAGAGTATCGCTGCGGGGAACCCCTAAGCGTCCTTGGTGCAGTCTTTGTACAGAAGCTGCTAAGATCACCGTTGCCATACCCTGAAAGAGCAGCCGTCTCGCTGGAAAGAGACATCCGTACCGAAGGCAACAATCTGTCGCCGCTCGAAAGATTTTGCATCAGCGTCCCTAGCTACTCCCACTGGTTACATCCTTCTCTTCAAAGCAAATAAATTATCGTTCTATCAACAACAGGAAGGATAAACTCTAAGTTTAAAAGCGCTGACGTTCTCACTTCTTGTATCCGAACAAGTGGGAAGGTTATCGCAGCATTGAGGGGCGATCGTCACCACAATGACGTCACCATCTTTTAAAATCCTTGCCGCCATGGTACAAAGGTGCGATTTCTCGCTAGAAAACGACTCCCGTTCAAAAAGCCGCCTCCCACTAAATCCTCTGAGCATCCTTTCTCCCATAGCGCATAAAAGATTAGACGAAAGACTGTGTCACCACCGGGTCACCGTAATTTCGGTCGATAGTTGCATTACGACCGAGAGTGCATTACGGCCGAGAGGAGCGGAAGGACCGGCAGTGGTTTTGAGGCCTAATAGGGCATAACTGCCGAGAACTGCATTAAGGCCGGTAGTCTCTGAATGGGCTCGTGTGGCCGGCTTCTCGGGGGTCGCGTTGTGGTTAATGACTTTAGTTGCCACCAAGTAAGATAGATGGCGCCACACATTTATTTGATTTGTCAGTACACATTGTATCTCGGTGACGGCAAATTCTGCGTTTTTGGTTTTATTGCTTTATCCTTTACGATAAATTAAACATGTAGCGCTTTGGCCGTTTCGACTAGCTTTACTTTTTTGCTACACTCCGTGTCATCATTTTTTAGCAAAGGGCGAAGGCTATGCCCTCATGAGCCAATCAGAAAGACGGAACGAAGCACGTGACACTTCTTCAAGGCAAGAACGCACTCCGACGGTGAGTTAGTTGTCATGTTCTGACATGTGTTTTTCATATTTCCTAGTATGTGTTTTCTTCAACGTTTCGTTGTAAAAAAGATTGAAAATAAAATTCTAAAATCAACTTCACTCATCGTTTTGTTAGCCGCCCGGTAGAATCAGAGACATAACTAATTTAGCTAAAGTGCTAACGTTTGAAAAGACACAATACATTTTTCACTAAACTCTTAAAAAGCCGATGATTAAAATATAGGTATGTTATACGAAAAAGGCGCCCTAAATTTACAGCATTTATTTGGAAATGCGTGTGCGTGCGTGTACATAATCGAAATATGCAAATGAAGGAACTACTGATCAAACGAATAAGAAATGGTAAAGCGCAGGAAAGCAAATAAATAAATGAAAAATTCGGATAGACAGGCCGACGTACCGACTGGTGCCGTCCGTGAAGGGTGAAAACAAACCCAAAACCGAAGTATTTGCAGTCGCCGACAGATACACTCTTAAAAATGTCATAAGTTTACTTTCCCGCAGAATATTGTAAACGACTTATTTTTCGCGATCGGGTCAAAGCTGGAGTTTTGGAATAATTTACGGATTATAATTTTCGCGACGCGGTAAGATCTCGATATAGATTCTAATGTGTTTACATTTCGACGGAATTGTTCGCGGGACCTATTTTTCGCGAATTATTGGCGATTGGCAAAAATTAGGTCCTCTCAAAAATTAAGTAGTTTACAGTACTCGGAGTGCCAATCATTGTAATTCGAGAAGAGACCATGGCGATTTACGAGACTGAAAATATGTTAATTTCACCCGCCATGCTCAATGTGGCGCCATCTTATTTGGTGGCAACTAAAGTCGTCAACTCCAACGCGACCCCCGAGAAGGCGGCCACACCAGCTCATTCAGAGACTATCGGCCTTAATGCAGTCCTCGGCCGTTATGCCCCATTCGGCCCCAAAGCCACCCCCGGCTCTTTTGCCCCTCGCGGCCTTAATGCACTCTCAGCCGTAATGCGGCTATCGACCTTAGCGAGATGCTCCCGTGACCACCACAGACGGTACCTTCTTTGTATCGCAGTTCGTTAGTCCTAAATACCGTAGTCTTCCACAAGAAAGCATGCCCCCAACTCCCTGGCAATCAAAGTCCGAATTTTCTATTGCTGGACGCTACGCCCGCCTTTTCCTTGTCGCAGTTTCTGGTTGTGTACTGTACCATACTTCTAGAAAGACACATTCGTAGCAGTGCTAGTGATGGCTTTGGTCTGCTTCGCCCTTATTATGCTGCTGCCGGTTTGAAACAATTTTTTTTTTATGACCGTGAAAGCGAAACTTAGGGTAAAGAGTTTATAAACGCTCACCACCTTTTTTTAGACATATATACAGTTGAAGATACTACGAGTGTGCATGTTATTATAACAAAAGTATGGCCGACACTATACTTCGTTTGTGATCACCCAGAATCATCTTTGGTTATAAGTACTGGCTATAATAAGCGATTGGTGTCCTCTTTTTGTTGCTTATGTAGCCTAAACCGGACCGTTACTAAAACCGGCGTAACTATGAGGTGCGTTGCTTGTGAGCAGTCCGTGTACTGAGCACTTATCGGTCATGCAACGTATCCCTTTAACTAACAAGGTCGCTTTAAAACCCTTTTTATAAAATCCCCTTTTACTGCCATCTCCCACTCACTTTTCGTGCGAGATCACGACGGCCACCGAAACTCCGTTAGAATGGCCCGGGGTAAGGGCTATGTTTGAACTGAGGGAAACGAAATCAGACAATTTGCTGTTTAAATGCCTACTCTGTATGCCGAAACTCAAGCTCATGAGCACACCCGGGACGTCAAACTCTACTTTGAAAACGCACATTAAGGTAAGTTATTTTTCGATGTCACTTACTTTTTTTTTGTGTTAAAAAGCCGTGGTTAAGTTCTCTCAGCCAAAAAAAAAAAACGCATTTTTCCATATCTTTTTATAGTCGCATAGTTTTTCAGCTACGCCTCACAATGCTCATAATGTAAGATGGCGAAAACTCTTCGAAAACGGCTTAATTTAGTTTACTTTCAGATTTCAGTATTTCAGAAGCTGGGAAAGTCAGTCACCGGCAGTCATATATAAACACACCTATTTCACATTCGTTTAAGTTTCCGATTTATTGAGACAGTTTTGTAGCATACTAATTTGTGATGCAGTTTACTTCGTTCATATTCGTTTTACCACCCCACTGATAACTAGAAATGAGCAGGGGTGCTTCGCATCAGTCCTACGTTTTATTGTGTTCTTTTTTTTGTTTCGCCAATCTTTCTGTTCGCAGAAGCTACCAGAGTTCGAGGTGCCTG